TATTGAGGAACATTCCTTCAACTCCTATTTTTTCGAGAGTTTTTATCATGAATGAGTGCTGGATCATGTCAAATGCTTTTTCTTTATCTATTGATATGATCATCTGGTTTTTATTTTTTCTTTTATTGATAGAGTAGATTATGTTGATTGACTTGCAAATGTTAAACCATCCTTCCATCCATGGAATGAATCCTACTTGGTCATGGTGTATGATCTTTTTGATTAATTGTTGGATTCTATTTCCTAGTATTTTCTTGAGTATCTTTGCATCTATATTCATCAGAGATATCAGCCTGTAATTCTTTTTTTTTTTCCTTTATGGTGTCTCTCTGCTTTTGGTATCAGGATGATGTTTGCTCATAGAATTTATTTGGGAGTGCTTCTGTTTCATTTTCCTGGAAAAGTTTGAAAAGAAATGGCAGGAGGTTCTTTTAAAGGTTTGAAATTTTTCTCTAGTGAATCCATCTGGGCCTGAGCTTTTGTTTTTTTGGAAAAATTTTGGTTACCATTTCAGTTCCCTCGATGGTGATACGTCTGTTCAGGTATTCTAAATCTTCTTGGTTCAGTCTTGGGGAGGTTATAGGAATCGAGAAATTTATCTATTTCTTCAAGTTTCTCTTTTTTTTTTTAATTAGTGAAACACCATGAGGTACAGTTATAGACTTACAAATTTTTGTGCTTGGGTTTCAGTTATACAATAATCAAGTACCCATCCCTCCACCAGCGCCCATCCTCCACCACCACAGGTCCCAGCATCCCTCCCACCCCCCATGCCCCCCAGCCCCTGTGGCAGGGCATTCCCCCTTGTTCTCTCTCTCTTCTTACACGTGCTAGGGGAAAAGGAAGCTCAGATAGAGAAGAGAACACCAAATAAAGGGTGTTGTGAGTATCCTCCCAGGGAGGGAGAAGCATGCTGAAAGTAGACTATAGACCAAACATGATTGCCACTCAGTGCCTCTCTTCAAGGTTCTCTTGATTCCAGTCATAAAGATTCGCAAAGTAATTTCTGATGATCCTTTGTATTTCTGTGGTTTATGTTGTGATGTCTCCTGTTTCTTCTCTTACTCAGTTCATTAGGGTTCTTTCCCTCTTTTCCTTTGTGAGTCTTGCAAGTACTTTATTGATCTTGTTCAGTTTCTCAAAAAAAGAAAAAGAAAAATCTCTTGATTTTGTTGATCTTTTGGATTTTCTGGGGGACTCCAACTCAGTTATGTCAGCTTGAAATTTTACTGTTTCCTTTCTCCTACCTGGTTGAGCTCCTGTGTTGGTCATTTTCCAGGAGCTTAAGCTGTGAGGTTATTTATGTGGCCCATCACTAATGCTGATATCAAGGAACATTTAATATGTGGCATCTGTGGTTTCAGGTCTTATATCAAAGTATTTGTTTGATTTTCAGTTAATACTTGTTACAAAGTTAGAGAGTAGTTCAGCTTTGTTCTTTTGTTTGTGGCTGTCCAGTTTCCCTATGCCATTTGTTGGAGACACTTTTTTTTTCTCATTGGAAGGTGCCCACTTTCAATACTTCCATTCAAATAATGTCAGAAGTTCTCGCAGAAGTTAGGCAAGAAAAATTAAGTCATCTGAACTGGAAAATACTAACTACAATGCTCTCTGCAGATGATTTCACATGTAGGATTAATGATTATACACACACACACACACACACACACACACACACGCAAAGGTATACAATAGGGCAAGTATAAAATCAGTATACAAAATTCAATTGCATTTTACCATCCTAACAATAAACAATCTGAAAAGAAAATTACAAAAACAGTACTATGTATGAGAGAATCAAAAGGAATAAAATACCTAGAAATTAACTTTACTAAGGAGTTGAATGATTTATATATATGAAAACCACAAAATGAAAACACATTAGCTGTTTGTAAATTGAAATTTTTTAAATGTTATTGTTACTTCCCCAAAATTTATAAAGTAAATACAGGGGCTGGAAAACCAGCACATTAGGTAGGGATCTTACCTTGCATGTGGCCTACTTGGGTTTGATTCTCAGCATTCCATATTGTCCCCCGAGCCTGCCAAGAATGATTGCTGAGTGCAAAACCAGGAATACCCCTGAGTAAGCTCAGATGTATCCCCAAAACCAAAAACCAAACCAAAACAAATAAAACAGTCCCAAACCAAAAAAGCAGATTAAGTATAGTTTATGCTAGAATCCTCCTTACAGTTTTTGCAAAAATGGAAAAAGTAATCATAAAATTTAGGAATCTTAGAAACCCAAAATTTCCTAAGCAGTCCTAAAAGAAGGAATAAATTTGGCTTAGATTTCCTGATTTGCAAAACCTGCAATAATCAAAACAGTGTTGTATTGGCCTAAAGACAGACATACAGACCTTTGTAATAAAATAGGCCAGAAATAACAGCTTATATTTACTTCTCAATTTTTGTTTAATTTTTTGGCTCGATTCCTTCGTTCCTCTCGAAGAGCCCGGCAAGCTACCAAAAGTATCCGCCCGTATGGCAGAGCCTGGCAAGTGCCCCGTGGCGTATTCGATATGCCAAAATCAGTAACAAGTCTCACAATGGAGACGTTACTGGTGCCCGCTCAAGCAAATCAATGAACAATGGGAGGACAGTGCTACTATGTATGATCAAACGACTTTTGAGAAGTGTACCATGACAATGATGCACAACAACAAAGAGTGGGAGTTTTGGCTGTCCATCTGAAAAAAAAAGGCGAAGTTGCACTTTTACCTAATACCATATGCAAAAAGTAGTTAAGTAGTTCAAAATAAATCATAGATATGAATTTAAGAGCTAATAATATATAAACTTTGAGCAGGAATCATGAGGAAATAACTTTAAGAACTTAGAGACTTCAAGACTGGTGATTATAGGATATGACAGAAATTAAGAGAAGTAAGAAAAACATAGAAAATGAAATTTCATGAAAAATTAATTTTATACATTGTTTTACTATCAGCAGTATAAAAAGACAACCAGAAAATGGAGGAGATATTTGTAATTATATATCTGATAAAGTATTAATATCCAGAATACTTAGGAAACTTATAAAATACAACAAAGCACAATCTGATTTTTAAATAGACACAAATATTGAATGAATATTTATCCAAACTTCTTTGTTTTTGTCGTGAAATGTTAGTTATCAAATTTCCTGATTTACAAAACCTACAATAATCAAAACAGTGTTGTATTGACATTTGACAGACATGCAGACCTTTGTAATAGAATAGGACAGAAAAACAACTTACTATGTATGATCAAATTACTTTTTTTAATTTTTATTAGTGAGACATCATGAGGTACAGTTGTAGACTTACAGATTTTTGTGCTTGGGTTTCAGTTATACAGTGATCAAATACCCATCCCTCCACCAGTGCCCATTTCCCACCAACACGGATCCCAGTATCCTTCCCACCCCCCATTCCCCCCATCCCACTCTGCCTCTGTGGCAGGGCATTCCCTTTTGTTCTCTCTCTCTCTTATTGGGTGTTGTGGTTCAGAAAGGGATAGACATAGAAAGATTGGATTCAAATGACTTTTGAGAAGTGTACCATGACAATGGGCTGGAGCGATAGCACAATGGGTAGGGCGTTTGCCTTGCAAGTGGCCAACATGGCCGACCCGAGTTCGATTCCTCTGCCCCTTTTGGAGAGCCCGGCAAGCTACAGAGTATCTTGCCCACACAGCAAAGCCTGGCAAACTGCCCATGATGTATTCATTCTACCAAACACAGTAACAATTGTCACAATGGAGACGTTACTGGGCCACTCGAGCAAATCGATGAACAACGGGAGGACAGTGACCATGACAATGATGCACAACAAGAAATAGTGGGAGTTTTGGCTATGCATCTGCAAAAGAAAAAAGAAAGCGAGGTTGCACTTCACTAATCATTAGTGAAATGCAAATTCAAATGACTTAAGAGATAGTACATAACACCCATTAGGTTGCCTAGTGTCCAAAAGAAGAAAGGTACAAATATTGCTGAGGATGTGAAAATCTTGGAATCCTCATGTACAGTTTTTAGAAAAATAAAATGTTCAGCTCGTGTGAAATATACAATGGTGGTTCCTTAGAAACTTAAAAATGAATTATATATATACTTGAACAAAAGCCAGGTCAAGAAGAGATTTGTGCACCCACGTTCGTAGCAGCATTATTCATAATGCTCAAATCAAGGAAACAACCCAGATTGCTTGAGTCACTAAAGCATGCTATATACTTAGGAATATTCAGCCTTAAAAAGGAAAGAAATCCTATCATATGCTACTGTGTACAAGGCTGTGTACAAGGCATATGCTACTATGAACCACGAGAACATTATACTAAGAGAATTAAACCAGCCACAAAAGGACAAATACTGTATGATTCCATTTCTTTGTATTACAGTAGTCAAAGTCTTAAAAACATAAATGACGATGAGGTTTTGCACAGCAATACAAATGCAGTTAATGCCATTAGACTATGTGCATAGAAATCGTTAAGATGGTTCTGTGAATAGTAACTTTAAAAGGAAAAAAGTTGGAAAGAAAAGCATCCTAAACTTAGCTACTTTATGATGATTAGTATAGTCACAAAATTTATTCTAAATAACCCAAGTATTTTCTTCTATTATATTGCTCTCATGTAGAAATGTATATTGATTGATCTTATAGTTTATTTCTATAGTCTATTGCTTTAATTCTAGTTTTAATGTATATTTTTAAAAGTTTATAAAATTAAAGATTGATATATGAAAATTTAATATACTCAATAAAATTTAATATACTCAGATTTTATAATAAAGTTTGGTATGCTCTAAAAGGGACATATGAGCACAAATAATTATTTTGTGTATAGTTATTGATAATTTTGTCACTTTTGGTTGGAAAATTAAATTTACACAGGAGCAAAACAAAAGAAAATATCATTAGAAATAAGCATTAGCTTTCATATCCTTGTTTGAAGTTTTGGTTGAAAGATCCTATGCTGCTGAAACTAAATGTGTGGATTATTTTTTCTTCCAGATTTGGAATGGGGAGAAATGGAAGGAGATGATGGCGAGTTTCATTATGGAGGTAGAAACTACAGAATTTGGCAACGAAGTGGATTGGGAAACAAGGAGGGAATGGGTAAAATGAAAAATAACTGAAAAAAGTTGCTAATTTTATTATAAAAAGAAAGAGCTCTTAGTTTAATTAATTTGCATCAGTCTATATTGTGTGATATGTTACCTCTTTTTTCTTTATAGATAGTACTAATGAGTCTCAGGACAGCGACTTTCCAACAGGTATGCAGTTTCTCTCTGGTCTATTCATTCCTGTCCTGTTGAAGGATATCTTGGCTGATGTTACCCACACTTGTCAGCTTCAGAACCACAGCTAGCCCATTAAACCTTTGGGTGCCACTAATAATATCACCAGAAAAATAACCCTGTAGAGACTCTTACCATATCATGTGACTGGCACCCCTCAACATAGTAAGTCACTATCTTTATGCATAAAACTCATGAATATTACATTTTACTTGTTTTATTTGCTCGAGCGGGCCCAGTAACGTCTCCATTGGAGACTTTGTTGTTACTGTGTTTGGCATATCAAATACGTCAGGGGGAGCTTGCCAGGCTCTGCCGTGCGGGCGAGATACTCTTGGTAGCTTGCCGGGCTCTCCGAGAGGGGCGGAGGAATCGAATTTTATTGCATTTATATTTTATTTTGGGCTGGAGCGATAGCACAGCGGTAGGGCATTTGCCTTGCGTGCAGCCAGCCCGGCCGAGCCAGGTTCGATTCCTCCGCCCCTCTCAGAGAGCCCAGCAAGCTACCGAGAGTATCTCGCCCACAGGGCAAAGCCTGGCAAGTTACCTGTGATGTGTTCGATATGCCAAACACAGTAACAACAAGTGTCAAAATGGAGACATTACTGCGCCCGCTCGAGCAAATCGATGAACAACGGGAGGACAGTAACAGTGACAGTGATATTTTATTTTTATCCTGGGATTGGGTATAGGACTTCAGACATTCTAGAAAGACAGTGTACTACCATATCAAATGTCTTAGAATCTTTTCCCTTTAATAAAATTCACAGAGAAATTATTTTTTTGGTTTTGTTTTGGAGCTATACCTGATGATGTTGAGGACTTATTCTGGCTCTGGGCCAAGGGATCACTCCTGGTGGGCTTGGGGGACCATATGGAGACCTGGGGATCAAACTTGGGTTGACTGTGTACAAGGCAAGCATCCTATCGGTTGTACTGTCACTCTGGTGTAAAGAAATTCTAAACAGCAACCAAGTTTTGGGACCATTTATCTGCCATATCATGTGACTGGCACTGGTTGTCCTAGCAATCATGGCTGGGTATACGTTTGCTTGCTCTGGCTTTTTCCTTTGCACTTTACAACACAAACTCAAAAAAGTGAAAAGGATGTTACAACTGGAGAGTGTTCAAAGGTCTGGCATGCATTCCTTGCCCATGGAATTCCCGTTCCTCATTTTTCCCTGGTTACTGGAAAACATGTCTGCATTGTATTGTTTCATTCCTGGTCTCCCAACAAAGATGAATTTTCTCTGGAGACTCAAAGCAGGATAGTGGCAGATTTTATTAAAATAAGGAAACTAGGACTGTCTAGTTGTTTGGAGCTGCCTGACTGAAGAAATGGGCAGCCTTCCCAAACTGCTGCAGGGGGATTTATATCACCATTTTTCCCCTATGTTCCAGTTTTGGGTGTTCCCATTCTTTTCCCACTGCTATTTCCCAGGTAGAAAAAAAATCCCATGTTCAGCTATTCTTAGTGACTCAGGATGTAAGACCCAATGGCAAATTGCATCTTTCAGCCTTTCACCCCAACCCTTAAGACACTAATTTGTGAAGATGGTCCGTCCCCCCTCCTTCCCCCGCTTGAAATGCTACACCAGAGGTGCTACTTTTGGATGATTTCTCTACACTTGTAAGCATTCCAGATAGCCCTAAATGATCCCTTCTAATTGTATTGCGCCCCCCCCACCCCCGCCCGCAATCACCCCACACACACACATATATAAACACTGTGCTCATACCTGACTATCCAGCAATGAGAGGGGAGTGTTAACATATCTTCTCGGCCCTCCTGATTTGGGGACCTTTGGATTCTCTAAATATAGTGTCATATCATCTTCAAATAGTGAGTGTTTGATTTCTTCCTTTCCTATCTGGACGTCCTTATCTTTTTCTTGCCTAACTGCTATTACAAGTAATTTCAGTACTATATTTATTGAACAGAAGTGGTGAGAGTGGGCATCCTTGTCTCGTTCCTAATCTTAGATGGAAGGCTCTTAGTTTTTCCCCAAATAATGCTTGCCTTAGGTTTGTGGTAGATGGCTTTGACTATATTGAGAAAAGTTCCTTCGATTCCCATTTTGGTGAGAGTTTTCATCATAAATGAGTGCTAGATCTTGTCAAATGCTTTCTCTGCATCTATTGATATGATCATATGGTTTTTAACCTTTTCTTTTATTGATGTGATGGATTATGTTGCTTGATTTCTGAATGTTAAACCATCCTTGCATCCCCGGGATGAATCCCACTTGGTCGTGGTGTATGATCTTTTTGATGAGTTGTTGGATTCTATTCGCTAGTATTTTGTTGAGGATCTTCACATCCATGTTCATCAGGGATATTGGCCTGTACTTTTATTTTTGGGGGGGGGAAAGGGGTTGTGGTGTTTCTGTTTGCTTTTGGTATTAGGAAGATATGTGCCTCATAGAAACTTGGAGAGTTTCTGTTTCTTCAATTTCCTGGAAAAGCTTGAGCAGAACTGGCAGTAGGTCCTCTTTAAATATTTGGAAGAATTCACTAGTGAATCCATCTAGACCTGGACTTTTATTTTGGGGAAGACTTTTGATTACAGTTTTAATTTCCTTGATGGTGATAGGTCTTTTCAGGTATTCCAAATCTTCTTAGCTCATCCTTGGACGGTTATAGGAATCCTTATAACCTTTTCTTCTAGGTTCTTTTGTTTTGTGGCATACAGGCTTTCAAAGTAATCTCTGATGATCTTTTGAATTTCTTTGCTTTCTGTTGTGATGTTCCCCTTTTCATTTCTGATTTGGTTTATTAGGGTTCACTCTCTCTCCTTTTCTTTGTGAATCTTTCTAGTGGTTTATCAATCTTGTTTATTTTCTGAAAAAAAATCTCTTGGTTTAATTGATCTTTTGCATTGTTTTTTGGGTTTCCATGTCATTAATTTCTGCTCTAAGTTTTATTATTTCTTTCCTTCTGCCTCGTTTGGACTCCTTTTGTTGGTCCTTTTCTAAGATCTTGAGCTGTGAAGTCAAGTTATTTATGTGGGCCCTTTCTTCCATCCTGAGAAATTCTTGCCGAGCTATAAATTTTCCCCTTAACACAAGTCCCACATTTCTTGGTTTTTCAGCCAATTCACTCATGGATGAGGCTCGTTGAGCCTGTGGAGATCTTCCCTGAGCATGATGGCGATTGGGTTCTGGATGATCTTAATAATTCTTTACCTTGATGTGTTCTCTGTCTCTGTCATCCCTCTATCATCCCTCAAATCTGAATGATAGGGGATCAGAGCAGTAGGGCGTAGGGCATTTACCTTGCACACGGCCAACCCGGGTTCAATCCCTGTCATCCCATATGGTCCTCCAAGCACTGCCAAAAGTAATTCCTGAGTGCATATTCCCTGAGCATCGCTGGGTGTGACCCAAAAAGGAAAAAAAAATCTGAATAATAGCCCAGATGGATAGAGTTTTCTCTACTGATTTATTGAGTTGTTTGATGATGTCTAACTTTTCTCTTCTGACCTATGGAGTCTCATTTGCTAGGTCTGGGAGACCTCTGCAAGTCCCCACTCTGCTCATCTTGCAACTTTCAGTGTTCTCTCTTTGGCTTTGACTCTTGGCATTTTGAAAACAGGGTGTTTGAAAGTATTTCTCTTTGGATTTATTTCATCTAGAGCACTTTGAGCTTCTTGAATCTGAAGTGTGCACTGCTGAACTCTATGAAGTTCTTAGTATTGATTTCCTTGACCAGTAGTTCTTCAAACTTGACTTAATGTTTCACAGGGACTCCTATGATTCTTAATATTGTTCCTCTCATCCTTTGTTCCCCATCACATACTGGTATGCTGTTTATTTCTCTTCAGCCTTTTTTGTTCCATTGTTTTCAGGAGCTCTTTTGTGTTTTATCTTTGATGCCACTGATTCGTTCTACTGTCTACTCTGCTGTCAAACCTTCCATTGAGGTTTATTTATTTGCCTAGTATACTCTTCAGTTCTGTCATTTCTTATTGCAGTTTCTCATTTACTTTATCATACTTTCTTTTGCTGTATTGACTTTCTGTACTATGATTTCTTTGAGCTTATTAAACATCTCCATCATGCTGTCTCTAAACTCCTTGTCTGAGCACTATAAAGCTTGTTTTTGCTCCACTAGATCCTTTCAGACTAACCTCTGTAGTTGTTGAACTTGGTAGTCAACTAAGCTTTACCATTATGACTTCTGTACTGAAGGGCTCTGGATGAGATTCTGGTTCTATAGTTCCTAATCCCTCAAGTGACCCTTTTACTTCAGTCCTCAGGTTCAGAGTTTTTGTTTTCCAGGCCAGTGAAGCTTGCTTTAACCCTTGTCCTGAACTGAAGGACTGTGGGAATGTGCCATCTACTGCTGCCTGGCCTGAGGTTCTTCTCGGTGTCTCTCTGCTAGCATGAGCTGTCACATAATTTTGTCCACCCTACCACCCCTGGCTTCCTGCTTTGTGTGTTGTTGTTTCAGCCATACTCCATGCTTTTGGAGAGCTGAGAGCTTGGAGATAAGCTGGTGATAGGAACCCTGATTTCCTAGCTGTTTCTTAGACCACACTATTGCCTAGAGTGCCAGCTCCTGTGTGCAGGGCTCACTGCCTCTCTTCATCTTATTCTCTCCTCCTGGAGCCTCATGACCACAAGTAGGTCATCCACTTTATTTCTGTTGTTCTTATAGAGCAGTTTTCTTGGATACTTCACACTCTCCCTGTTGGTCTCTTACAGAATTTACTACCATTTAATTTCTGATCATTCTTTCTCCCTCGTGCAGTTCACCATACTCTTTTCTTTTTTTTTTTTTAAATTTTTATTAGTGAAACACCATGATCACCATACTCTTTTCAACACCATGTTGGCCCTGCCTCTTTCCATGATGCTAGATTTTACGATAAGTCAGATATGTAGATTTTTCCATAAACTCTTTTAGCTTCTTCAGCCCTGTCTTCTGTGTTATTATCCTCATCCCCTTTCTTTATTTTTAATGCCCCATGTGTTTGGATCTGTACTATGTCATTTATTGCTATCTTGATACCAGATTGGCAAAGGGTTCTCCACATTCTCTTTTCTGAAGGAAGTAATTATCCTATTATCTGGGCTCTCCTGACTACTAACTTGGGTACTGCAGTTGGGTGGATTACTTATTTTATTTATTTGTCTCCACAGTGGAGAGGAGCAGACTACAAGAAATACTGTCACTTTTGGGATTAGAGACATATCAGGTCCAGAAACTCAGCCTACAGGATGCTCTGCAGATCAGCAGTGACAGTATGAAGAACTTGGCTCCTCAGGTTCCCAAAGACTTGCCCTGGAATTTCCTCAGGAAGCTGCAGGCCCTCAATGCTGAAGCCAGGAACACCACAATGGTGCTGGACATACCCCCAGATGCCAGGCCTGTGGAGAAGGAGAGTCAGATAGAAGAGGAGATTATTTACTGGGACACAGCAGATGACATTTCCGCGGACATCTACTCCTTCTCTGAGCTCCCCACTCCGGACACACCGGTGAACCCCCTGGACCTTCTGTGTGCTCTTCTGCTTTCATCAGATAGTTTTCTGCAGCAAGAAATCATATTAAAAATGTCCCTCTGCCAGTTTGCACTTCCTCTTGTTTTGCCTGACTCAGAAAACCATTACCACACATTTCTATTATGGGCTATGAGGGGCATTGTCCGGACATGGTGGTCACAGCCCCCCCGTGGGCTGGGCAGTTTCAGAGAAGACAGTATGGTCCTGTCCCGATTGCCTACTTTTGCCTTTGTACGCATGGAGGTCAGCAGTAACTCCAAGTCCCAGCTTCTCAACACCATTCTCAGTCCAAGCCATAGGCAGCGAGATTACTTCTGGCATCGAGATCTGAACTTGGGCACCAACCCTCGGGAGATTGCTGATGGGCTGGTGGAAATGACCTGGTATCTTCCCAGTGGTAGGGAAGATTTGGACATTTTCCTGGAACCCATGGCCTTTCTGAATCTTAGAGGTGACATTGGATCTCACTGGTTGCAGTTTAAGCTCTTGACAGAAATATCCTCAGCTGTGTTCATCTTGACTGACAATATCAGTAAGAAGGAATACAAACTTTTGTACTCAATGAAGGGGACAGCCACAAAATACTACTTCATCCTAAGTCCCTACCGTGGTAAACGAAACACAAACTTGAGATTCCTAAACAAGTTAATTCCTGTGTTGAAAATGGATCACTCACACATTCTTGTGAAAGTCAGCAGCACAGACAACGTGGGCTTTGTGCGAAGGGTCCGCTCTATTTTGACACACGTGGCCCGGTCCCCCTGCAGGCGGGTATCTGTGGAAGATATGGCAAATGCAGCTCGTAAGCTGGGGCTGAAAGTTGATGAGGACTGTGAGGACTGTCAGCAGGCAAAAGACCGGATGGAGCGGATCACCAGGAAAATTAAAGATGCAGACACTTACAAAAGGGATGAGCTCAGACTACAAGGGGACTGTTGGAGAAAGGTGGCCCCAGTGGAGAAGGAGCTCTGCCAGGTCCAGTGGGCAGGGGACTCTCCTGAGAAGTACAGAACTGAGCTGAGGCACCGGTTATTAGAACTGCGAATGCAGCAATGCAGCCACGACCCTGCCTGGGGAGTACAGGAATTCATTAATGGCATCAGCAGCCCTTCTCTCAGTGAAAAGCAGTACTTTCTCAGGTGGATGGAGTGGGGACTGGCTCGGATAGCGCAGTCAAGGGCAAGACAGCCTCCAGAGACATTTCTTACCCTGAGACCCAAGCATTGTGGAACTGTGGGCTTCAGTGAACCCCTCTGTCCAGAGTCCCTGGGAGTGGAGCACTTCGTGCGGGAGATGGGACAGTTTTATGAGGCAGAAAGTTGTCTTGTAGAGGCAGGGAAGATGCCAGCATGCCAGAGGCGGTTTGCCCACTTCCCAGGCTTGGCGTTGGAGTTGTTGCTAAAGGGCCTACCCCTGGAACTGGTGGATGGGAGTACTCTCAGCACCCCCATGCGCTGGGTCACAGGGCTCCTGAAGGAACTGCATGCACGCCTGGAGAGAAGATCAAGACTGGTGGTCCTGTCTGCACTGGGTGTGCCAGGCACGGGGAAGTCCACCCTACTCAATACCATGTTTGGACTGCGATTTGCCACGGGCAGGGTCTGTGGCCCTCGAGGAGCCTTCATGCAACTTATAACGGTGTCTGAGGGCTTTAGCCAGGACCTGGGCTGTGACCATATCCTAGTGATAGATTCTGGGGGCTTAATAAGTGGGGCCCTGACCACAGCTGGGGAAAGGTTTGAGCTGGAAGCTTCTCTGGCCACTTTGATTATGGCACTAAGCAATGTCACTGTGATTAGTTTAGCTGAAACAAGGGACATTCCTCCCGCTATTCTGCATGCATTTCTGAGGTTGGAGAAAACAGGGCACATGCCCAACTATCAGTTTGTATATCAGAACCTCGGTCCCACACCGAGAGAGCGGAGGCAGCTCCCGGATCAAGCAAGTGATGTGAGCAGAGCAGCAGTGCACATGGAGAAACAGGGTGATAGCATTCGGACTCTGGCTGATTTGGCTTTTTGTGATCCAGAGAAGCAGCACATTTGGCATATCCCTGGATTGTGGCATGGAATGCCTCCCATGGCTGCTGTGAGCCTGGGATATAGTGAAGCCATTTTTGAATTGAAAAGATGCCTTTTAGAAAACATCAGGAATGGTCTGTCCAACCAGAACAAAAACATTCAGCAGCTCATTGAGTTGGTGAGACGACTATGAGTGTGGAGAGGCTTGCCGTGGGCACTCTTTTTCTGAGTAAGCTGTCCACTCTGAGCTGTTCCCGGCACCTGTGAGGGGATGACTTCCAACTCATACAAGAAGAGAGAATAGTGAAAGTTGGGGAGGTGAAGACCTAAAGTTTCCTAAACAGTGTTAAGCAAGGAAATAATTGCACAGCTCTGTTCAGAAATGCTCCCAGGGCAGAAAGAAGAGCCACAGTACTAGTTTCTTTCTCTTTGAGTAATTTAAAAGGCCTTAGGATTTGACCTTTTGGATAACTTCTCTCCTTTGTCCCCTGGAGTGGAGAGTTGCAGTCTGATTGCTGTTGGGCCTTGGGTAGATAGATACACAGAAAGTCAGAGAATTGTCCTGAAGAAATGGACATTTCCTCCATTGAGCCCAGCATCTGTGACTCAGTCCTGTCCATGGAGTGGTACCCTTGGTGGTCAAGTCGCTACTGTGGCATTCTGTTAACTGAGTTGTGCTGCCTTCCCCAGTCCCACCCAAGAAGAAGCACTACTGGCTGTTGTGCCCTCCAATTTTGTCTACTTCTCTGCCGCAACACTTGACACTGACATCATCATTTCCTTTTCGCGTGTCTGCCCCTCCTAGACTGTGAGCTCCTTGAGGGCAGGGGCTGTATGTTAGCCAACTCTGTACCCTGGGGGCCTGGCACATTGTGGGCGCTTAATAAATGTTTGTTGAATGAATGAATGAATGCATAAATGCTGGAAATGGACAGGTTCTCTCTGTGCCTTAAATTTCCTACTTCTGCAAAGAAGATTGTAGTGTCTGAGGAGAGGTAGATAGTAGAACACATTAAATGGAGGGCACCTGAGAGAAGTGACTTTTAAAATGCCATGTTTTTCCCCTCCTTTAAAGCTCAGCTTCATTTCTTAGCACTCAGGGAAACTGAACTAAATATCCTTGCAGTAACTCCAAAATTTCTCCATCATTATTCCCTTTTATAGCTAAGAAAAGGTTTAATAGGTTCCCTGCATGTGTAGAGAGAAGCTGATGAGTGATCTGGTAAGCCTACGCCTCTGCTTCCTGGCCACTAATTTTGCCCAAACTCTTCCTTATAATCCCTGTAATCTCTGTATTACACCTATTCCCTCAGTGCCACTGGGGCCAGGCCATTCTGATAATGTCTAAGGTCTGTCTGCTACCATTTGATCTAGAACTTTGCCTCCTCACCTACTATTTCTCCAGCTGGAATCCTTACTTGTACCAGTGTTTACCAAGGGTCAGTTTTATAATTGAACTTCATAATTCAGCCCCAGCATTACCACTTGTTCTATAAATCCACATGGTTCTCTGAGCCTGGTTCCTTAGGTCTTGGGTCCTTCCCTCTCTTTTTTTATTTCAAGGAAATTGAGTCCCCACTTTCTTCCCTCCACCCCCCACCCCATGGTGACTTGGAGGCAATTTTGTAGCCTTTACAAGGGAATCTTCAAACTGGAATCCTTACTTTAAAAAGGACTCTTTTTTTTTAACTTACTGGTTTACAATATAATGTAAATTCATGGGTTAGCTCCACCTCTATGTATGTATAATTCTGAACACTCCCTGGAGCCTTTCCTTAAATGGTAGGATCCTTGGGCCCTTTTTGGGGGGGAGGGGGAACACACACCATCTGCTGCCATTTTTGTCCTCGAAATGTTGCCCCTCTGTTTTAAGAACCTGGCTCTCTGTATATGAAAATAGAGTCTAAACACAGTCTAAACTCTGAAAACCTGATTTTAAAAAATTGAGGAGGAAGACTTTCCTTCTGAAGCCAAAAAGATTCTGTAATCTTCCAGTACTAAAAACTTGAATCTCTTCCTTGTTCATTAAATAGCACAAATATTAAGATGTTAGATCATATGTGAAAATACCAAAACTTCTTCCAGCTCTTTTCTCCCAAGCCATGAAGTGAACCGCTTGATCCTCCAGCACTACACAAATTGTATCCATGATATTTCTGGGCCCCAGGTACATGCACTGGAAGAATCGAGTATCAACTGTTCCCTCAAAATTAAGCTATTCCAGAAAAGTGAAATGGAAGCCAACCATGTTGTCCTAAGATAAGGTTCATGATTACAGAGATTACAGTTGTAGCTCAGTAATAGAGTCATTTCTTGCATGTATGAGATCCTATTTTTGGTCCCTCACACCACAGTTTTTTTTTCTAAAAAGATTCAGCACATTAGATGTAACATGGAGACGATTTTTTTGGACAGCTTTGACCAAAGGTACTCTGAAGGACTGAGCAACCCAGAATTTCTGGAGTTGTGTAGGCAGTGTTTAAGATTATCACTGCTCTTGGGTGTAGGAACAGGGAAAATTGACCAATGATTTACTTTTCAGAAATGGTAACATGTTTTCCTCACTCTTTTAGAGATTTGCCATCAGACCCTGAAGTCAGCTGCTCTTGCGATTTAAATTTCTGTCTAGGTCTCCCCCACTGCTTTCCTAGCAGCTCTGGAGGTTATGTGTTAAGTGTCTGTCCATTCTACTAATTCCTGGACTCCCACAGCCGGACGACCCCTATACATCAGAGCTGAAGATTTGTCTTATTGTCTGAAAGACCCTAGAATCTATCATAAGGCTACATGGCAGCTCACTTGGAGCCAGCTTAGTAACTGGGAATGTAAGGGTAAACAGCTGCTCACAGGTGATTTAGTTACTCTCATGAAGAATGAACCTTGTCAGTATCTTCATTGTAATTAAGCCTGAAAGTCTGAGTCTGAAAATACTGGTGAGGGGTTGGGGGTGCAGGTAGGGGGACTGGAAGTGGCTTGCCTGAACATGTGGGAACTTCAGCCTGTGTCTAGTACTGAGTCCAAGATTTGCTTCCCTCTAGTTACATAGCTCTTGAGGAAAGTCACTCAACTTCTCTTAACATTACAATTCTCCACCTATGCCAGACTGGATTGGGAAGAGCCTGTCTGTGCTTGGAACTAGCAATGCACCTGAGACGTGTCTTCTTCACCAATCTGCATACCTGTGAGTATCAGACTAAAGAAACTGCCCGCATTCTACCCCAGTGTTGAACATTTTGGCATGCTGTTGTGTAATCTGGGTATTCTTCCTTGCAGCCATTTAATTTAATGACATATAAGTCAATGCAGTCTAGCTGGTGTCATTCAGTTATGGAAACACGATACCTAGCAGGGCTGGTGTGAAAAAGTATGTGCTAGAAATACATACCTGATGTGGTAGCTCTCAGCTCCTCAGATGTGAATTAGCTTAGTAAAGAAAAACCCGCTACTTCTATGAGAAAAAAAAAAGATTTTGGTCGAAACTTATTCTGAATTCCTGGGACTTCAGCAAAATTATTTCAGAGGGTAGCTTTACAAGCACCACTGAGTGCAGAAAAGAACCATGATAATCTTGATCCTGATTTTGGCATTTACAACTCCAGTACCCCACAAAGCCCACTCCCTAGACTCAGTGGTTTCATCTGTGTTATTGTGTGCCTCAAGTCTTCTATCCTCAATTTTGGCTCCTTCTAGAAGGTACTCCTCCCTCAAGAGAACCTCTGATGGCAAATCTACCTCCATTCTATTCATTTGAGGGGCCTTATATGTTCATATCATAGTCCTGATACTTCGTTTTACTTAGCACCATTTATACCCTCTTCACCTGAGTTCCCTATAGAAGACAGAGTATCATTATCCTTTCTTTATGTCCAGACCTAGCACAGTGTCTGAAAATGGGTAGTGGAAGTCTTTTTTGCTGAAGTTCATGCTAGGGTGTAAGGTTGGCCATTTATGTGAATTATTTGTACCTGGGTGTGGCTGCTGAAGTAGTCCTGAGTTATCTCTGACCATCCTTGAAGAACCAGACCATCCCCTTTCCTACTAGGTACTGAACATGCATCCTCAACTAGTGATATAATGCAATGCCAGATATGGAATGAGCACATGCTCTGGAATAAGAAGGCTAGTCCAGAAGCTTCAAGCGAGTCTTTGAGACTTCATCCTCTGATCTGCAAATCTGGATTAGAAATGTCCCCTTTCCAGGATTCCTGGGAAAAGCAAAGTGTAATTACAGAGAAAGAAAATATTCCCATTAAAATTTTCCACTGCTAATTTAAAAGTAAAGCTACTTATATTGATGTATTAAAATGCCTCTGTTATTTTAATAAATATTAACATTAACACTCATATGATTCCTCTTCCCCCCCCCCAAATCCTTTGGCAACAAGGTATGATAGAAACCACGCTGATAAAAGGTAGGTAACGGTGTGTGAAACATGTAAGATCTAGATTATTTTGGAATTCCTGGGGAATGGCATAAAGAAGAGAGGCTTGAATAAAGAAAAATTTTATGATATTGCCTGCTTCCTGGGTGGCAAAGTTTGAACCCCAAACACAGTACCTCCTCATCTCCTACTAAGCACTTCTGTGGTACCTCTGCCACCCATCTTTGTGGAAAAGTAAGCCTTGTCTCCTTTTCTCTGTTGGAGGTGGTAGTCTGTGAATTTTTATGAACTGGTAGAATAAAGATGCCTACTTGTATGGGATATCAGGGATCTGTTCTTTAAACCAACAAAAAGGTAATTCTCAACTGCTTTGCCAGGCATTATACAAGGTGATGCTCACAACAGTCACCATTGTTCCTATTTTATAGTTGAAGTCATCAGTCTCAGGGTTTACATAGCCAAGATGCAGAAACTTAACCATTGATATTTCTCACTACTAGAACAGATTATAAAATATCAAATTATGAAATAACGGAAATTAAAAATTTATTAGTGTAAATTGGTCCTTCAAAAATAAAATGGTACTTCAGTAAATGTTGAAAGTTCTTGCATTTAGAAATTACTCTGGATTGGAGGTCTCATTCCTAGTTTGTTGTTTTTGGCTTCCAGGCCATACAAGGTGCGCAGAGGCTTCCCTTCCCCCCCCCCCCACACACACACACTTTTTGTGGGGCGGGGGAGGCCTGCACCCAGTGGATCTCAGGGCTTACTCCTGGCTATGTTCTCAGGGATAACTCTTGGTGGCCTCAGGGGATCTTGTGGGCTGCTGGGAATCAAACCCAGGTGGGCAGCATGCAAGGCAAGTGCCCAACCTGCTGTGCTATCTCTCCAGCCCCTCATTCCTTTTCTTAATTAGTATGCAGAATAGTTGGAAATCACAGTTTAAAATACTGAAAAATAATCCCAGTGCGTGAGCATGAAAGATGCAGTCTGTTTATTAGGGTGTTTGTTTTCTTGAGGACTTCATATGATCAGAGAGATTATGGAAAGTGTACGGACTAAAGCCAAGATATTTCTATCTTTAGATACCTTTCTGACTCCCCAATGTGATTTTGAGCAATTCATCCACCTCTGCTTCCAGTGCCATCTTCTTCCCATAGGAACACACAGCATTTTGCAAACAGTATTAGGGTGATAGATGTAGGTTTGTATGTTGTTACTTTCTTTTTATATATATATAATTTATTTATTTATTTATTTATTGAATCACTGTGGGAAAAGTTACAGAGCTTTCAGGTTTAGGTCTCAGTCATGTAAATATCAAACACATTTCCCGTTACCAATACTTATTTTTTACCACGAACCCCAATAGAACCCCACCTCCCACCCCTCCCAATTCCTCTGAGGCAGATGAGTTCTAGTTAACCCTCTATCTACTTTGACTAGATTCATTGTTTCAATAAAAGATGCACCATTATTATTTAGAGTTTACCCCCCCAATCAGACATGCTGAAAAAGCGTTGTGAAATGATTTGCTTTCTACAGCTGGGTTCAAGAATTAAATGTCGCGCGGCTGCTATTGCGCAGTTTTGGATTTCTGCTATTTTACTTATTAACCCTGGAAGTATTTCTACTAAAAGTCAGATAATTAAGAGATTGGTTTCTGTGCTCTGGAGTCGTGGCCGTGCCAGAGAGCCACTCGTGGGGGGCAACTGGTGACCTTGGTAGGGCGTGAAGGACGGGCCGGAACACCCCCCTTCCCATGAGGTTTTTGTCGCCCCCGACCCCCGGCTCATATCTGCTGTCCACAAGGCTCCCATGCGGCCACCATCTTTCTTTCCAGAGAGGAGAGGGCAAATGGGGCAACACCCTTTCCCCTCCGGGCGGGCATGATGGCGCGGTTTAACGCATAGTCCGTTTGCTTTTCTGCTCCAAGCTGCTGGTTTTCTGCATTAAGTCCTTGTGCTTCTGGGGCTGTGGCCATGCTGGAGAGCCGCTCGTGGAGGGCAACTGGTGACCTCGGTAGGGCATGAAGGACGGGCTGGAACGCCCCCCTTCCCATGAGGTTTTTGTCGCCCCCGACCCCCGGCTCATACCTGCTGTCCACAAGGCTCCAATGCGGCCGCCATCTTTCTTTCCAGAGAGGAGAGTGGTTGTTACTTTCTTTTCACATAATTTGGTCTAATAGAACAATATGAAGTTGTGCAATAAACAAAACCCACTTTATAAATAATTGCACTGAGGTTCAAAGTATACTAAGGTTGTCACACTGCACCCAACTTGAGTCCATGTGGTTATTTGGGTGTGTGCCCTCTGGGTCATGACTGTAGTCTCCTGCACCCGGTGTGCCTCATAGAGACAGGTGTCAACCACCACATGACATCCACTTGTAACTACATGGAAGTGAATTTCTGCCACGCAGGTTTGCTGTGAGCTATGGTTCTCAAGCTGAGACTCTTGACAGGAAAACAGTCTGAACCACCACCAGATTCTTTGTTTTTTTTACAAAATAATTTCAGAAGAAATTAGCATACAATAATGCACACGGTGAGGCACGGCAGTGGCACACATGTGAGGCACGCAGCAACACATGTGAGACAGCAGCATACAGTGAAGCACGCAGCAGCACACAAAGTTTTCAATTAATAGTGAAAGTTTTTTTAAGGGAGTATACAAAGTTAAGGGAGAATGGGTGATCAAAGAGACAGGAGAGCCCCTAAAATAAGAGATTAAAACCCAGGGGTCAGGGATATAAAAGGCTGTAGTGCATGCAGGAGCCCTGGATTTTATCTCTGGCACTGCTTGGTCTCCAGAGCACTGCAGGAATGACTCCTAAGCAGCCACCTGTGCCAAGGAGAAGCCCTCAACCACTGCCAGGTGTAGCCCCAAATCAAACACAAGCCAACCACAATTAAAAGACACTATGCACCCTAAAAAAGGTGCAGTCAGGCCCAGTTGCCGGTCCAGTCGACAGCCGAACGGGTCAAGAAGGAAGGTGAGGATCAAAGAAACTACATACAAGTGGTTGAGAGGGCTGAGTTCTCATGGAACAGCAGCATTGATCTTTATTTCAGACAGCCTCTTATACATTTCTATAAGGAACTTGGCAGGTAAAATCATCCATTATAATTGCAAAAAACATTCCCAAGATCATACATTTCTTTGATCAGAACAAGCATAGGAAGCATAATATAATAAAAACAATGTTACTTAGATCAGTAACAGGAAATAAGAACAAGGTAGAAATAATAACAAAGTATACTGAAGAACACTCTGGCCCTTCCTGTGTACTTTTCATGATTTACCAAGGTGTTATTTCCTGCATATGCCACAAAATCACAATGCATCCATTTCTTAATAACTTCTCTTGCAAACTGAGAATGATGAAGTATTAATTTCTCTGTAGGCTTGAGTTAGCAACATGACTACTCCAAGTATTAGAGGTGGTGAGACAGAGAGTTATGCCAAGTACACTTGGCCCTCTGAGTGAGGCAGCTCCCAGATCTAGGTCCACTTAAGGACCCTGCATAAGCAGGCAGCTCCCCACACCCAGTATGGAGTGCTCTGAGTTGCTTTGGGTCGCTGATTACTTGTGGGTCTTTTACAGTCTGTTTCAGTTTGGGTTCAGGGTCCTTGCTAAGGAGCTGTCAAGGGTTTTTAACTCTTCTCTTTATCCTCATTCTGGTTCTTGCCTGTGAATTATCTCCAAATAACTTCAAAACTCTTCACTGAGCTCCTTTTCAGATTAAACACTGTCTTTCCAAACATTTCTCGGGGTCTGCTTTCCTGAATCTTACTGCCTAATGTTTACAGTAACTATGGTGAATTCTGAAATAAACTATCCAGTTTTCACCCCTCACATTAGTGATTTCTTGGTGCCAATTACAGTGGCAATACTATGGTTAGAATGTTATAGACCCTGCCATATCCAGATAGTTGCCCTCTAGCCCTTCAAGATTGTCTTACCTCTGTGCTTGGGTAGTGACAACTGAAACCTCCCTCTGCATAATTCAACCTTGAAGAACTAGGTACTTTTACACAGCCCCGCAAGCTACCGAGAGTATTCGATATGCCAAACACAGTAACAACAAAGTCTCCAATGGAGACGTTACTGGGCCCGCTCGAGCAAATCAACGATCAACAGGAGGGCCTTTACCTTTACCTTTTTATTTGTGAATAAAAGGCAAAGGGGGTTTTGTTAAGAATACAGGAGGGGTGGGGTGGAGAGATAGTATGCCATAATAGCTCTTGCTTTTCAAGAGGCTTCTCCAACACCCAAAGCACTGATGTGTTCCCCCAACAAACCAAAGGATCTTGGAGACATAATTCAGCACCTTCATTTCCAAATCCTGGGAAAGCTCTCCGGGTACCAGGGTCCTGACGGGGTGAGGCAGGTGAGAGAGCTGCATGTTTCCCTCAGGCCCATTCTCTCTGTGAGACCCTTAGGAGAGCTGGCTCTTTGCGCCGAACGTAATGTCTTAATCATCAGATTTTCGGATTTATAACAATACGCAAGGACCTTGGCAGGGTGCAGAGATTCAGGGATAAGCATCACGAGGCTGTAGGAAGACGGGAAAACGCAGCCTCCAAAGCCTCCCCACCAAGTGCACTTTACAGCCCACCCAGAGCTTGCAACTGGGTCGGCTTCCGGTTTTGAGCCAGCCCCGCCCCAGTCCGAGAGGCCCCGCCTCCAGAGCCCGCCCCGCCACGGCCCGTCCCAGAGGTCCGTGCTCCGGGTCGCCCAGAGGCCCCGCCCCGGAGCGCGGCGCACGGCCTGCGGCCCCACGCCCGCGCAAGCGCAGATCTGAGCCCGCCGGCGCTGGCGGCTCGCCCCGCCCCTTCCCGTCGGAGATGGCGGCGTTGGTTCGGGGCTGGGTGCTCGGGTCCCGGGTGAGCGTCACGCAGGGGTGTGGTGGCAGGCCGTGGTCATGTGCCTTCGTGTCCGTCTCACGCCCCGCTGTCCCCACAGGTGCTGTCCCGGAGCCTGCCCGGCGCCAGGCGCGCCCTGCACGTTTCTGCCGTCTGCGCCAAGGTGAGCCCGGGCTGTGCGGGAGGCGGAGGCCACCGGCCTTGGGGCGGGGCCGCGGGAACCGTGGTGGCGGCGGCGTGGGGGACCGGCAGGAGAGGCAGGGGCTGGGTGGGAGGGAGGGGTGAGGCAGGCGGACCGTGCCGAGCAGCAGAAGCGGCCTCTTCTGTTCCTAGAACCGGGCAGCCAGAGTCCGAGTGGGCAAGGGGGACAAGCCCGTGACGTACGAGGAGGCCCACGCCCCGCACCACATCGCCCACCGCAAGGGCTGGCTGTCGACGCACACAGGTGAGGGCACCACCGGGACTGCCGCACGCGTCGGAGGCTTGTACGCAGCACAGTCGCCAGGATGTCAGAAACTCAATTCAGAGTAGTACCGAAAACTGTCCAGTCCCTTACAGAGACGTTAAACTTGGAAGCTGTTGATTCAGCCGTGTTGGAGGCAGAGTGCATTACTAATCAGCCGAACGTTTATGATGCACCTTGTACATTGGTACACTCACGAAATACTGTAACCAAATTCCTACCTCTGTATTTCCGAGAGGAGTAACGGTTCGATATTTGCTAATCCATTATTTTTTGGTGACTTTGTTGCTGCTGGTGGATTTGACCCTCACCTGCAGAGTGGGATTTCCCAAGGGGCTTATGTGAATTGAGGAGGAGAGAGGTGGCAGACTGTTTTCTTCTCTACCACCCTGGCAAATGCTTGGGAGGTTCAAGTCTGATGAAAGTCTGCAGCGAGTCCCTGCATGGTTCAGAGGCTCAGGTCCTGCCAGCTTGGGGCAGTCTTTAACCTGCACCTGAAGTCCGCTTGTTCTGCACAGTTTCTCTGGGATCCATGGACTCAGGCTGTGGAGAGGAATTTCTTTTAGCAATTCCTAAGAGCTTATCCTAAGCCTTACCCAGGCTCTTCAGATCTGTCACCTTTCCCTCCCAGGAAAAAATTTCAGAAAAGAAATACTGAAGTAAAACAAGCTTACTGGGAAATAAAAGGAGAACGGAAAGAGGTAGATTTAGATTCAGGAGTAAACACTGGCTTATCAAGAACAGAGAGAATCATATACACATCCCAGGCAGATGGTCAAGTATGAAGGCATGCATCTCAAGGGAGGAGACAGGGGCAGCGTGTGTGTGCCAAAGTATGAAAGCACATCGCAGGAGAGGAGGTCATGCATATACCCCTGTCCAGTTTATAGACATTTTTCCCAAACTGCATTTCCCCCCCACACACACACACTCCCATGGCTGTGGGGCTCCCCCCTAAGTACGTTGCCAGGCTGGCTGCCAAAGTTTGGAGCAGTTGGTGGTGGTTTTTTTTATATTCTTTGCATGGCCTTTGTTCAGTGATGGAGTCTTTACTCCCAGGCGATCTGGCCACTGCTTCTCTCAGGAATCCATCCCTGCTTGGTCCTGGAATTTTGCATCTCGGTTGTTTTCAGATTTCTGAAATAAGTCTTTGGTGTCAAAGGTCTCCCTGCCTTCTGGCTGGTTTATGTTTCAGAGCCTGTTCTTCCCGCTGTACATTACCAGGGGTCTGCCTGCAACAACTTCAATGAAAATTGCACAGACCAATAGTATTTTCAGTGTGAGCCCTCTGGACTTGGTTGTTTGTCAAGAATTTAAAATAGTCTCAAAAAAAAAAAATGTCTCTTTCCTTGTCCTTCTCAGAATCTAACTCTGACAGGGGTTGTGGGGTGGGGGATAGAAAATCACATGGAGTTTGGGGACTCCAAGATTCACATTGAGATTTTACTGTTTGTGGCTGGCCCTGGCTGGTGAGAAAGCTCTCACACCTGTTATCAGAAATAATTGCAGCTTCATCTAGCTGGCTTAGAGGATGCCCAGAAATTAAGAGTGGGAAAGGGGTGGAAATGGAGAGTTCTGTGCCCTGGATCAGACTTCTTTCTTTCCTTTTTGTAAACATGAATGTACCTATGCCACAAGATTGGTTTGGGAAAGAAAGTGCTATTATTCTACTGGTAAAAGAAAAGATGAGATGGGGGGATGTGAAATTGACTGCTCAGTGCTCATGGATGTTATTGCTGGAGTTTTTGGCAACTCTCTGGTACCCTTTTGTCTTCAGGTAACCTAGATGGGGAGGAACATGCTGCAGAGCGGACTGTGGAAGATGTTTTCCTTCGAAAGTTCATGATGGGCACCTTCCCAGGCTGCCTGGCTGATCAGCTTATTCTAAAGCGTAGAGCCAACCAGCTGGAAATCTGTGCTCTGGTCCTTAGACAATTGCCTGCACACAAGTTCTACTTCCTTGTAGGCTACAGTGAAATGCTGCTGTCCCACTTTTACAAGTGTCCTGTTCGTCTGCACCTCCAGACTGTACCCTCCAAAGTTGTGTATAAATATATCTAGGGCACTTAAATGTGGGTAAGGAGTGAAATAAAAAATTAAGGAAGCTTGTCTGCTCATAGTACGGGCGCTTTTTTTTTCTTAAATTTTTATTAGTGAAACACCATAATGTACAGTTGTAGACTTAAAAATTTTTGTGCTTGGGTTTCAGTTATACAAAATCTGCTATTGAACTCAATAGATAGTATATGGGTCTTGCCTCACCATGTGTCTTGCCTACTCTTTGGCTAGAGTAGGGTTTCTTTGGGATTGGTTCTAAGGCTCCCAGAAAGACTCAGCTGTGTCATGTTTAGGTAATAGGTACAGGTCAATGACTGTCTTATGCCAGTGTATTTGGTACTTTACCTCCAGTCCTTTGGGTTTTTTTCTCAACATGGGAAAATCAGTTTTTGGTGATTATAATAGTCATTTTTGAAAAATACATGGGCATGTATTTAGCCATGAATCTCCTGTAGAGAGAACCGCGAACAATTCATTATATTTAATCTCCATATATACTCCCCACCCCCACCTCTGCAAAATACTTTAATGCACAACATTTATTAAACAAGATTTTAATGGAGCACCTATTCTGTACCAGATAGCTTTCTAAGTTTGACACCTATAATGAAGGAAAAGCATTTCAGAAGATGAAATCAGCAAAAGCCACATGGAGTGTGGAACAGGCATTGCTTGGAGCTTGACCGGGCCCCCCGCCTAGACCCTGACTCCAGTGTTTTTTATTCATAGTACCTTAGTCCTGACCGGATCTGTTTTATTTTGTGGTCATACCTGAGAATACTCAGCACTTACTCTTGGTCCTGTGTCTTGGCATCACTCTTAGTGGTGTTTAGGGGACAATGTGCTATAGCTGATATATGCGATTGAACTCAGATCAGTTTCCCAGCCACATGTAAAGCGAGTGCCTGACCCCTAATCTGTGTTACTGGCCCTTTTTAACTTTATTATTTTAATTTTATAAACTTGTTCACAATGATTTATTATATTCAATATCCCAACACCAATCCTACCACCATTACACCTTCTCACCACCATTATTATGAATTTTCCCACCATCCCCAAAGCTTGCCCCCAAAGCAGGATTTAAATAATTTATTTTGTATTCCTTGTTATAAATAATCCACTAAAAGTGATCCAAAAAAGTTTCTTTAGAGGAAAGTTGGGAAGATTGTTGTATCTCACATGGAACCATTGAGCTCTCGTACAAGATTGCTAACATGTTACAGGTTGAGCCTGTATCCTAATTTTTTTTTAATCAAATCGGTTGCCTACTACTTTACACCCCATCAGATGTGTGCTACTCTTTAAGTACATCAATGCTGTTGAGTATGAGATGTCACTCAAGGAATTCTGAAATTTTATATAGGGTGATTAGGTTCTGAAGGTTTTCGTCTGCTGGTTCTCTGTTGGGGCAGGTGGAAAGACTTACCTGTCCCTCTGAGGTGCCCTAGATAAGGCAGCCTGGTATGGAGTCCGGAGGCAACTCTGCAACTTGTTGCTCTCCCAATATTTGTGAGTCTCTGAATCATGGCTGTTAATGAGCTTATGTGGCACCAAAGGCAGTTTGTGAGCATGACTACCAGGCTCCTGGAAGAACAGGGAGATGGGAGGAGGTCACCAATTCCCAACTCCATGAGAGCCTGGAGATTTTGGTCAAAAATCTGCATACCCCATGTTAAGTGAAATGAGTCAAAGAGAGGGAGAGACATAGATTGCATTCATCTGGGGAACATAAAGTAACAAAATAGGAGACTAACACCCAAGAGTGGCCGAGATTAGTACCAGGAGTTTTCCTTCATGGCTTGGAGGCCAGCCACACATTCTAGTGGAAAAGGGAGCTCAGATAGAGAAAGGAGCACCAGATAAAGGGTGTTGGGAGGATCCTCCCAGGATGGGAGAAGCATGCTGAAAGTAGACTATAGACCAAACGTGATTGCCACTCAATGCCTTTTTTACAAACCACAGTACCCAAAAGGAGAGAGAGAACAAAAGGGAATACCCTGCCACAGAGGCAGGGTGGGATAGGGGGATGGGGTTGGGAGGAATACTGGGACCCGTGTTGGTGGAAAATGGGCACTGGTGGAGGGATGGGTGTATGATCATTGTATAATTGAAACCCAAGCACAAAAATTTGTAAATAAACAACTGTACCTCATGGTGTTTCACTAATAAAAATTAAAAAAACCTGCATACCCAAGTTTTTCAGCAGATGGATTCTCATACGTGAGGTTCGTCCTCAGCCTGTAGAGATCTGCCATGAGCATGGCGGCAGTTGAGTTCTAGATGATCTTAATGACAGGAAAGACATGATGATTACCACAATGAAAGTCAAGTACAAAATAGAATTTAATGAAATATATTTTCGATCCCAGAGTTGAAAGCTGATTTAAATAAGAATAGACATTATATTTAAATTATTTGTATTTCTTTATGTTAAAGGCGTAGGAGTCATCACAAATTGACTTACTGATTTATTTTCTAATAATTCCATTTGCTGGAAGATGGTTCCTCCACCCAGATCCCCCATCTTCCAGTATGTAGGCGTTACACCCACCAACTGCCCCCACCGCCGTGTAATTCCATCAACGACCAAGACCCAGAGACTATAAAACTCTGCTCCCGGAAGAGAACAGCGCAGTCTCCTGCCTCCGCGCCTGGCTGTCCTCACCCAGGCCCTTTGGAGGAGGGTGGGTTGAGTTTCCCTTCCCACTCCAAGGAAAGTCACAGCAGCTGAAGACCTCTGGTTACAGCCACAGCCATGCTTAAGACCACTCTCCACACGTTCGGACGAGCCACACACATGAAGGAACCAGCAGAGGAACCCAGGTGTGCAGGACCCAGGGCGTAGATCTCCAAGCCTGCTCGGACTCGGACTGGGTCCTCCTCCACCCAGATCCTCCATCTTCCAGTATATAGGCATTACACCCACCAACTGCCCCTGGCACCATGTAATCCCATCAATGGCCAAAACCCAGAGACTATAAAACCCTGCTCCCAGAAGTGTGCGGCCGCAAATGCAGCTGTGCGACGTCTTATTATCTAGTTCTTACTCTGGAGAACCTGGCAGGCTACCAGAAGTATCCTGCCCACACGGCAGAGTCTGGCAAATTCCCCGTGGTGTATTCATTATGCCAAAAACCAGTAACAATGATGAGTCTCATTCTCCTGACCCTGAAAGAGCCTCAAATGTCGCACTTTTTAAAATCTCAGGACTAGGACAAAGGAGGCGTTACTGGGGCCTGCTTGAGGCAATCGATGAACAACAGGATGACGGTAATACAGTGAATTTCATTTGCTATTTCGTTAAATTTTGTTGGAACAAGCAAAATGAAGTAAATATGTTATGTGCCTTCAGAGGGACAGGGTTGGGGGTAGGAGGGAACCTTTGGACATTGGTGAAGGGAAAGTTACACCAATGGTGGGATTGGTATTGGAACATTGTATGCCTGAAATAGCATTATTACTAGGAACTTTGCAAATAATTTTAAAAAATAGGAGGTTCTCGTATTACATTGTTTCAATAAAAATTTAACAGACACTAATTCTATTTGCCCCTAGTCCAATCTATTTTAGTGACCTGAATTTAATTTTTGAAACTTACTTTTATTGTAGTATAGGTAACAGGGCTGTAATCGTCTTCACATTCTTACAGCTTTGATACCGATTTAAAGAAATTCCTGGTTTAACAGCACCCAAAAGGAGAGAGAGAACAAAAAGGAATGCCCTGCCACAGAGGTGGGGAGATTGGGGTGGATGGAGGGGTGGGAGGGATATTGGGATCTTTGGTGGTGGAGAATGGGCAGTGGTGGAGGGATGGGTACTCGATCACTGTATAACTGAAACCCAAGTACAAAAAATTGTAAATCTACAACTGTACCTCATGGTGCTAATAAAAAAAAATCATGGTTTAAAACTTTTAAGCATGTTCTAAAAAGCACTGTCCTCCCATTGTTCATCAATTTGCTCAAGCGGGCACCAGTAACATCTTACAACAATTTGTGAGATTTGTTATTACTGTTTTTGGCATATCGAATACGTCACTGGGAGCTTGCCAGGGTTTGCCATGAGAATGAGATACTCTTGGTAGCATGCCAGGCTCTCTGAGAGGGGCGGAGGAATTGAACCCAGGATAGCCACGTGCAAGGCAAATGCCCTACCTGCTGTGCTATTGCTACACTCCAAAAAGACTATAAAGCAAAAAAAAAATATTTTGTAGCAAAGTAGTTTAAACAACCACTAGTATCTAAGGATTGAATTTTTACTTATTTGGTGCGACATCTATTCATGTTCAGGGCTTACTCCTGGCCCTACATTCCGGGATCAGTCCTGGCAGGTCTCAGGACCATCTGTGGTATTGGGAATTGAATACAGGTTGTTCATTTGTAGGGCCTTAACTTTTCCCATCTTTTTGGCTCAGTATAAAAATATTTTTTTGAAAACCCGCTTCCTCTGGGCTGGATAGTGTGTTCTTGTTTTTAGGGAGACAATTGAAGAGTTATTAGTTTGAAGAATTTGTCAGAGGCCTGAGTCCTAAAAGGCTCTGTCACAGAGCCTATTTTTCCAACTGTGCACAACTCTGATCGTTTTTTTTATTGTTACTTTTTGGGTCACACTCGGCGATGTTCAGGGATTACTCTTGGCTCTGCACTCAGGAATCACTCCTGGCAGTGCTCAGGGGACCATATGGGATGCCGAAGATCGAACCCGGGTCAGCCGTGTGCAAGGCAAACACCTTCTCCGCTGTACTATCACTCGGCCCAACTCTGATCTTTTTGATACACATTTCTTACCTGTATAATTAAGGTAATAAATACCCACTCTGTAATAGTGCCCTAATGATTAAAAGTTTCTTGTGCAGATTAACAGACGTCATTATTGCCAAAACTTTTTATTTTAATGTTTATTTTTTGTTAAATCACCATGAGATACAGTTCCGAAGCTTTCATGATCAGGTTTCAGTCATACAATGTTCCAACACCCATCCCTCCACCAGTATATATCCCTCCCACCACCAGTATCCCCCATATCCCTCCTGCCACGCACACCCCCAGCCTGTCTCTA